CCTGTGAGCATCCAGGACACGACCCCAGGGCCTTTGCACCTGGTGCCCCACCTTGAGCCCCCCCGCCCAGCTCCTCTTGCAGGTCTCCACATGGGACCCGATCCTGCGCGTTAGGGTTCTAGCCTCCTCTGTGCTGCCCCTGAACAGGTGTCCCCTAGGGCAGGGCCTGCTGTCCTATCTGTTTTCTCCTACCTCACACAGTGAGGGTCCCAAGCAGGGCCCTGAGCAGAGTGTGTTGACTGAAGAATAAAAATGTGGAGGCTGGGATGGCTTGTGGTTCTTTCTGCAGGGAATGTCCACTGCCCTCCACCCCTGCCTCATGCCCAGGGTCTCCTCTGAGAAATGGGCTCTGGTTCTCAGCAGTGTTATTCATAGTCACCCCAGGATGGAAGCACTGCAGATCTGTGTGGGCTGGTGGTTCGAGAAGCTGACAGCAGCATGTGTACATGGCAGAATATTACACAGACACGAACAAGATGCACTGCAGGTGTCCAGGACAGGGAGAGTTCTTGTGGCAGCAGCCGCATGTGGAAAGTCCTGCTCCCAAGGCTGAGGGCTGGGAGCCATGGTTTGGCATCCTGGGAGAAGCAAGGCCAGGATGGGGTGGGGTCCAGGTGATAGGGCGGGGCATGGCTGCCCTGTGCTTGGCCTCAGTGGGGCTGATCGCTGTGTGTCTTCCAGAATCAGAAGGATTGGTCTAACAGGACAATTTTTACTGTATTTAAAAAACAACAACTTAAAAAAAACCCAGTCACAGAGTTGGGGACTCTCAAAATCATGGAGTGACTCAGGCCCACTGGTTTGGGGGAAGGAAATGAGAAGAGGCTGCTGGTAAGAGCCCTGGTGGTGTCCTCACCTGCCCAAGGAGGTCACTTCTATGGCCCATCCAGTGGACCATGTTGGAGACTGAGCAAGGTCTTGGGCTGGGCTTCCTCATGGAGCCGGGAAAGAGCAGAAGGGAGGATAGAGCCAGGGATGAGGGTGGGGTGAACTTAGTGGCCACTTGTGTCACTTTCTGCTTTGTCCCTGCCCTGCCACTGGCTGTGCTTGGCTGATATTGCTAGTGGCAGGCACGGAGAGCTCTGTGCACTCTTTGTGTGTTTATAGTGTGCGTGTGTGTGTGTGTGTGTGTGTGTGTGTGTGTGTGGCACTGAGGCTCAAATCTAGGGCCTTCACACTGAGCTACATCTCCAGCCCCACACTTTTAAAAAAAATTTTGAGACAGGGTCTCACTAAGTCACTAAGTTGTTCAAACTGGGCTGGAACTTTTGATCCTCCTGCCTCAGCCTCCCAGAGTGCTGGGCTGCGGGTGGGCGCCCCCACGTGGGCCGGGCCAATCCACGGTTTAGCAGACTCACAGCTGTGGATTCAGCCTCACAGCTACCCCAGGATATTTCCACCTTAGAAGGAACCACACCCTCTCTCTGTCTCCTCTTTCCCCTCGGCCCCCCCGGTGGCTCCCTCACCAGGCATCCGGGGCGGCTTCTTTCCTTCCCCAGCGTCTCCTGCCTTCCCATAGTGCAGTCACCCCTGGCCTCACCACTGCTGGTTCATTCTGCTCCAGCACAGAGAGGGTGAGCCACCTCCTCCAGACCTCGTTGGCTCCCAGTGCAGTCTGTGCTGTTCACAGAGAGCCTGTGGTGCTTGCTGTGGGGTCCAGGTGCCTCACCCTGTCAGGACTGATGGAGACCCGGCAGGCAGGAAACAAGGAGGTGCCCACAGGCCTCACTACCGCACATTCCTGTCCCAGGCTCACCTTTGACTTGCGGGTAATCTGTCGATTATCTCTTGGAACAGAATCAAAACACGCACTGAAAGGCCAACCTGCCCTTGCCCTCCACAGCCCTTCCCAGTCCTCTTAGTGGCAGCTCTGGTATCACATTGGAGTTCATCCTTGCGTGCCTTTCTCTACACAGTTAAACACAGGGGCCACATCCTCAGAGCACACATGGTCCTGCTGTGTGGGGCTTCCTTTCTGTCTAAAAGGTATCATTCTGCTGGGGTCCTCTGTGACCTCACGCTCACATATTTTCAGGGTTTATTCACGGCACACATGGTGTTCATTCTTTTTACCCGTCATGGCAGATTCCAGTCTGTGCTCACATGTGGCAGTGTCATGGGTGTGCACGTCACCCTGATGAGCACAGGGTTTGTTCTCCCTGTTTCAGACACAGCAGCCACCAGCGTCCCTGTTCCTCCTCTGTGCACTGTGAGTGTTTGAAGGAAGCTGGGCAGCCAGGCATCTTCAGCCTAACGGAGGAAGCAGCTGGTGCTCCTCACCAACACTCGATAGGATCCAGCTTTGGCATCTTTACCAGGTCAGTGAACACAAGGCGGCTCCTCTTGGAGCTTTCCTGTGGGAAGGTGGAGCGCAGAGCACACTGTGCCGGGCGCCACGTGTCCCTCGGGAGGTGGTGTGGAGGGACCTGGGGTGGGGAGAAGAGGCCCAGGGACAGGGACAGAGCAGGTCGCCATGCTGACACTGTGTGCTTGCATCTTGCTCTGCCCTGCCAGGGTACAAATGCGCCTTCAGCCCGATGCCAGCGTTGGACAAGCCACCTCCCTCTGGGGCTCCTGCCTCACCCTGGATGGTGGGGGACCAGCACAAGCCTGCTCCAGGCCTGGGGCTGAGGTGACACAGGAGGCAGCCAGGGCTGCGGCCAGGACGCCAGGACACCTGGGGATGTAGCAGACCAAATGAGGGTGGGCTGGAGAGGGAGGTAGGGTCGCAGGGAGGGCTGGGTGGGGAGGAAACAGGGAGGGAGGTCCCGCATGACTGTTTTGCTGTGCACCTGAGCTCTGCCCTGAAGCCTGAGCCCTCAGCGATGACGTGAGAGTGCTCTCAGCGTCCCAGCCCGGGCTCCCATCCCCTCTCCCCATCCTGGAGCCCCGTTCTTGGTGGCTCCTGAGGGCCCAACCCTGCCAGCCACTTCATGGCATGACCACGAATGAAGGTGTTAGTCATATCTTCAGTGGGGAAGAGCAAGGGCGAACCAGGTGGGTAGGTGCTCACTGAAGTCCACATTGGCTGCCAGCTCGTGCAAAGGCCCGGGGGCAGGAGGAGGGGACTAGGAGGGGGCTGGGCAAGGGCAGGACAAGCTGGGAGGGGTTTCAGCTTGGAGAGGGGAAGCTACAGATTGGAACTGGGTCCCCCCACATCCTGCTGCTTGCAGAGGGGACACAGGGGCTGGGCTGAGGGGGACCCGGGGCAGAGGAGACTGCAAGGATCTGAGCAGCAGATGCACAGGTCGAGGTCTGAAGGTGCAGAGAGGACTGGGGGTTGGGTGAGGCTCTGGGACAGAGGGGCCACATCCTGCTGCGGCCACCAGCTCTCAGGGGAAACTGAGGCACAGAGAAGCAGCTCAAGGTCTTGGTCTCCAAGTGCCCCAATGGTACTTTGATGTACAACACTTTCCTTTTTCTTCCCTTCTTCCTTCCCTCCCTCCCTCCTTTTTTCCCTTCTTTCTCTTTCTTTCCATGCTGGGACAGAACTGAGCCCCCCTGGCCCTGAACCTGCCAATCAAAAGTGCTGCCCAGAGCTAGACATGGTGGCACATGACTGGATTTCTAGCACTCCGAGAGGCTGAAGCAGGAGCATTGCAAGTTCGAGTCCAGCCTGGGCAACTTAGTGAGATCCGTCTCAAAATAACAAAAGCTCTTTTTTTTTTTTTTGGTACTGGGGATCGAACTCGGGTCCTTGTGCTTGTGCAGCAGGCAGCGGAACCACTGAGCTAAATCCCCGGCCCAACAAAAGCTCTTTTCATAGCTGAGAATGTAGCTCAGTGCAAAGGTCTTGGGTCCAGTCTCCACCCCCCCACCCTAAATAAAAAAACTTAAACAACAAAAATAAAAGTGGCAGCAGCCAGCCTGGCCCACTCACCTGGGAGGGTGGGTGTGTGGCAGAGCCAGTGCAGGGCCCCGGGGTGCAACTGGGAGGCTGAGACAGACTGGCGCTGATCCTCTGAGCCTGCCGGGTGGCTGTGTGGGGTCAGGGTCCCCTGTGTCTGGGGGAAGAGGGACACGGGGCCATGCAATGGATCCCAGGTAACAGCCTCTGGGAGTCCCTCCTGACCCGGGCGGCCCAGGCTGGCAGGAGGCGGTGCCGACCCGCAGAGCCCCAGCCCCACAGGGCTCCGGTGTGGCAGGATCCAGGGCCTCAGGAGGTCGGCTGGAGTCGTCCTGTCCACCTCTGCCTGTTTCTTGGGGTGATGTCCTCCTCCCTCCTGTCCACGTTGATTCCTTCATGCTAATGACGGCTGCAATGGCTGTGAGTTCGCACCCACCTGATCCACAACCTGACCGGAAGGGAGCACCTTGGTCCCCGTGGTTCCAGCTGTGAACACGGCGACCCACAGGGGCTGCCACGCACACTGAGAAGCAGGAACGACATGGGTCACTGTGCAGGTGCAGGGTCGGGGTGACCACGTGCGGGGCTGGGGACACCCCCTCTGGGGTGGTTGTGGGCTCTGCTCCTTCAAGTCCAGCTCTGGTCCCAGGGAGAGTGGGGACACCGGGGTCTGCAACCACAGAGCCCCAGGCCACAGCGCTGCCTGGGCTGCAGTCACCATGGTGATGGAGTGGGAAGGGCAAGGCTCCGAGTCACCCCAGGACCCCGGGGCCTCTGCCCAGCTCGGTGGCCTCAGTGTCCCCACCCGAGATGTGGGGAGCCCTGCCAGCCGTCCTCGCTTCCGGACCACCCGGAGATTCTTATCTGGCTATCAGTGGTGCCCATGGGGGTGACAGCTGTCCCTTCTTCTCACACCTGACTGGTCCTATCCTCACCAGCTCTGCCTGGGGCCCTGAGCAGCTGCATCCTTCGAACCCCTGATCCAGCCACTGGGGCACATGGGAGGGGAGCGCTGGAGGCCTGAGCATGCGGGGGCCCGGCCAGGTGGCACCAGGCGAGGAGGGTGTAGGGAGTGCGGGTACGGAGAAGGTGGTATTGCCCCACCATCGCCAGATCCGCTTGTGATTAGGAAGTGCATTGCTCCATCCCACACCACAGCCGTTACACAATAGTCCTGCCTGTTGCCAGCCGTGCCCACAGCCACTCGGGGCACCGAGGACCATGTTGAGGTCTCCAGCCCTGCTCTCTCCCCCAGGCCTTCCACTTCCATGGAACGCAGGACCCCTCCGCGCAGGCCACAGCCACATTGAGCTGAGAATGTGCCCTGGTGCCCAGGCCCACAGAGGGGCAACTCTTCCATGCCTCCTGGGCACCTCGCTCCTTGGCCAGGGCCAGCCAGGATTACTGGGAGATCTGCCCCACCCTGTCACCTCCTCCCTGTCCTCGGCTCAGACCCTGCCAGACTCCATGTACACCACACCGCACAGGACCTGGCTCAGGGACCTTCTGGGTCACAGCTTCCCTGAGGTCCTCCACAAACATGGTGAAGCAGAAACTTGAGTCAAAGATGGCAACACAAGGTGGGGAGGTGCTAGTGGTGTGAATACGAAGGCAGCAAGAAGGCTGGGACAGTAGGAGAGGTACTGTCACAATGGCATGGAAGTGAGTGATGACGGTGGTGACATCAGGGAGGGAAGGGGGTGAAGATGGTGATGGAAGGAAGAAGGTCAGGCCGGAGGTGAGGTCAGGATGGGGAGGTGAGGTCAGGCCGGAGGTGAGTTCTGGATCGAGGGCCCTTTTGCTATTGGTGCAGTCCATGACATTGTGGTTCTTGTGTGTCGTGATGAACTTGGCGGTGCCAGTTGGGCACAAGGTGTACACAGGCTGGGATGGAGCCCTGCTGGAGGGGGGAATCTTGGTTCAGGGAACGTGGTGAGCTAAGGCGCTGCCCTTGTCTATGGCTGAGCATTTTGGGGCCTCCCCTGGGCTCTGACCCTCCAAAAGTGTGGCCCTTCCTGTCTTCTAGGTCCCAGCCAGGAGCCTTGTAGGTCCCCTTGGAAATTTAGGAAAGGTGTCAATGTAGCCAGGAGATAGAGCCCTCGCCGGGGCTGCTCCCATAGCGAGGGGAGCTGGAGCCCACAGGGACCTGGGCCCAGGGAGGGGTGACAGCCTTACCCCTCTCCGTCCACTCCCTGTTGTGCCCAGGCTGGGGCCCAGCTCAAGGGAGCTGCACCTGGGAGCCTGGCTGTGGGGGGTGAGAGGGGACAGAGGAAGTGGCCGTGCACATGCTGTGGAGCTTCCCTCGGGCCCAGGCCACCTCTAGGGCCCTTGTGCTATAACAAGCAGCGTGGTGCTGGGCACAGGTGTCCTCATCCCTGGGGGCTCGATGGGGGTGCCCTGGGGGGCACGGTGGCCTGGCAGAGCTGGCCACCTGCTAGGCCTGTGCGGAGGCTGAGCCTTAGCAGTGTCTCTGGGGGTGAGGCGTGGGCCAGGCCTGGCCTAGCACCCTAGCCCCAGGCCAGTGGGGCTCCCGGAGCCTTTATCTGGGGGCCCAGCTGTGGCCACGGGAAGTGGCCGTTTGGGCAGCAGTGTCCCATGGGGCCGTGACAAAGTGAGGCCGGCATGAGGGATTGAGCAACAGCCCACGTAGGAGGGCAGGGCCATGTGACCTGGGAGCTGGGCCTGGGTGGAGGAGGGTGTGGGGTCCAGGCTGCCCTCCCACTGGCCAGCAATGGCTCACTATTATCAGCGTCACATGAATTACTCTTTCTAATCAGGTGGGCACAGCAGGGACTGGAGGCAGAGCTGTGACCTCATCCCTGGGGGGCGCAGGCTCCACCTGCTATACCCTTGCCCGCTCGGCCAGCACCGCCTCACCTTGTCCAGGTGGCCCCCAGCAGGAGGCCTCCCCTCACCCCAGTGGGCAGCAGAGCACACGAGGCTAAACTAGGAGCTGGGAGGCTGGCACCTGGGAATGCTGACCCCATGTGGATGCTGCCGGGGCAGAGGACAAGAACCTGGATGCTGCTGGTGCCAGGGCGAGCTCACCTGGCCGAGGGCCCAGGTGCTGGCATGCCCTTCTAGCACGGGTGATGACCCCACCTCCTGTTCCCAGGTCCTGGAGAAGGTTGCCCAACCTACGTAATACACCAGCGTGCACTGGACCCTCCCATGGTGACACAGGATGGGGGATCTGCCCTCCTGTGCACACAGACGTGGGGATACCTGCACAGGGTACAGGACAGCAGGGCCATAGGCAGGGAGAGAAGCTGCCCCTTCCCCTCGCTCGCGCAGGGCTCCCTCGTGTTATCTGCAGAAACTGTATTAACCTGGAAGGCTGTTCCCATTCCCATCAGTCCGATTCCAGCGATTCCAGCCTTATCTCCCACTGGTGCATTAGCCCCGGGGCTGCCCACCACCCCACCATGGCTGGCCCCAGCCCCAGCCTACCTGACTTTTCTTGTGGGCAGGGGCAGGGTGGGGCACTGTGCCCTACTCCGCAAGCAGTAATATGAGGATGCCCCCAAGGTGCTGGGACAGAGGTCCTGGGACCATAGGACCTGGGTTCCAATTGCACCCCTGCCTGAGGCACTGAGGTGCAACCTCTGAGACCCCACCTAAGGGTGGACAGGCCCCGCCTGCGAGTCTCTGTGGACGGTGGGCCCAAGTGTCACCCTGAGGTGGGGGAGCCGGGAGGGGACACATATGCCTGCCTGGCAGCCCCAGATGGAACCTGCCGCTCCCACCCCCGCCCCCCACCCAGGCTGCGCTCCACCCTCGAGGCTGCGCACCCTGGCCAACCCCAGGAATGGGCACTCCGGGTTCTGCTGATGCCAGGCACAATAGGGGCCTCTCCTGGGACAGTCCCAGTGTGTTCTCAGGCACAGTGAGCTGGTCTTGCTGCCTGCCGCGGGGCCTGGGGCTGCTGGGGTCCCACGCTGGCTGCCCTCTCTGAGCACAGGTGTGTGGGTTCCTGCTCTTCTGTGTGCCTCTCCTGAAGCCACCCTCTTTCTGGAGCTTCAGATGGGACTGGGAGGTGGGGGGCTCTCAGGCCTTAGAGAGATGGCTGGGGAGCCAGGCAGGCTGCACTGCTCCTCATGGGCTCTGAGTCTGCCTGTCGCAGAGGGGCGACAGGTGCTGGCCTGCTCCAAGCTGCAGGGAATGGCACAGCCAGCCCTGTGCCCGGGAAAGTCCCTGCCTTAGAACAACCCTATGCAGCAGCTGTTGCTCTTCTTCCCATTTTATGGCAGGGACACTGAGGCACAGGGCTCGGGGACTCACCCAGGGTCATGTGTTTCATGCAGGGCAGGACCTGCAGCCAGGCCCAGGGTGACTCAGTCCCTGTTTGCAAGGACCCTGAGAAGGGCTGGGAGGAGAGCCTGGCCTCAAGCCCCGTGGTGAGAGAGGCACTGGATTCAGACCCAACTCCACCCAGCAATGGACAGGTGTGGGCAGAGGGCCCTGGTGGGGACAGACTGGCTCTAGCCCCCATGGCACTGCAGTGGCACTGCCTTTCCGGGGGGCTAGCTTGCTGGGCCAGGTGGGGTGAGTCAGAGGGGCACAGCACCTGGTACACAGTGAGTCCACCTGGGCAGTGGCAGAGGGGTCCCAGCTTGGCCATGGGGGGACGAGCTGTGCTGGCCCTGGCCACCTGCAGCAGTAGCAAGCGCAGTGGTGGCACATGCAGGACACACCCTGCTCCTCCAGGCTCACTCCAGCGGGCACCGACCTGGCAGAAGCAGGGTACATCGTGCCCCCAGTGGGTAAGGGTGGGGCCTGGTTCCTGTAGCCTGGCTGCAGAGCCCAGCTTGGCCACCCTCTGGCTCCCAGTGCCCACCCACTGGCTGGGTCCTGGCCAAGGCCGGTGCCGGATGGCTGGACCAGCTGCCACAGCTGGGCTCCCTGTAGTGTGAGGGGCTTGGCTGTATTTAATTAGGGGCCGCCTGGCTGCCCGGCCACTGTGCACGGGGACACTGTGTTCCACGCTCCCTTTGCCTCTGCCCTCAGCTCCAGGGCTTAATAGCCCCAAGTCATTTGATCGCAACCTGCCCCGGTTAATATTTTTAATGCCATTTTTGCAAATTAAAACATAATGCACCGATTACCGGGATAAAAGAGAGGCCTCTGTGTCCGTCTGGAGGCCAAATAAAGGAACGCGTGAACATCTGTTCACCCCACAGTGTCCTGAAAGCTTTGATTTCCCCTCAGCCGGGTGGTTCCACCTTGTCACCTCTCTGAGATCCCTGAGACTGCGGGTACCAGGCGGGCTGCAGGGATATGTGGTCCCTGAACTCCAGGGCAAGGGCCTGGGGGGCAGTATGGAGAAGCCCCTGAGCCTGCTGCTCCTCCCAATCCAGCTCAGGCCACAGGGACCCCCCCCACTTGGCTCCCAGACAGTTGCCCCTCCCTCAAGGCCTAGGATATCCCAGGAGACACTATAGTCCTTGGGTGCCTTGGGCCAGACCTAGGCCCGAGACAGACACACAGAGACTGGCAGAGAGGGCTGGGACCAGGGGGCATTTATTTGCAGCCACCAAGGGCTGTCCACTTGTGTAGGGCTGAGACTGGGCATGGGGAGGGCCAGCAGCTCCGTGGCCTGGGCCTTTCCCCAGTTAGTCCTGGCTGCCATCCTTGGGGGCACAGGCCCTTCTGGCACTGTCCCTACCACCCCAGGATTCTTACTGTGGCTGAGCAGGAAGTCCAGGTGGCAGTAGGGTGTATGCCCTGCTGCTGCAGGACCATGGGGAGACACTGGGGAGGGTGAGGCACGTCTGGCTGGCTAGTGGGCCCTGCACCCCGAGCAGGTCATGGGGTCCCTCAGGGAGACTGTACCATGCGCTTGTGGGTGTCAAAGACATAGCGCTTGAACGACAGGCTGAGCCCCACGTGCTGCACAGGCTCCGGCCGCTCGGCCCCCTCCTCCTGCTTGGCTGCCTCCCCCTGGCCTGCCCGGCCTCGCTTCTTGACAGCCGTCGTCAGGATCTTCTTGGACTCAGGACTGAGGCCAGCTGCAAGAGACAGAGACGACCCTGTCACTCTGCCATCCACCCGCCTGCCTCCTGCATGGGCACCTTACTGGCCCAGTTCTGCTCCCCATCCCGTCTCAGCAACATCCCAGCCTCATGGCCAGAACCAGCAGGGACCTCGTGTCCCCCTTGACCCACCAGCGAGTTGGAGGCCTGGGGTTCACGCTGCCACCTAAATCCTGCACCTGGCTCCTCATTGCCTGGTCACCCAGCCTGGGGCACCACATGACTCCCACCTGCCCACACACCCACTTGCTGGGCCGGCTCCCCCAGACCTAACATCTGTGGCCCTGGGCGGGGCGCCCTCTAACTGCCCCTGGAGATGCTCTCTCTCTGCCCTTCTGTGCTGGGAGGGAGGCCCAGTGGGCTGGGCCCATGCCCTCTGGCTTCCAGTTGGGTCCAGCCCCTGGGGCCGACAGGTCACAGGGCAGGAGAGAGGAGCAGGTGTTTCTCCTGGCTCCCTCTGGCCGGATCTCCCTGGGGTCCCGCTTCCTGGGATCTGGTGGAGGTGGGCTCCACCTCCTGTCAGTGAAGACCCTCTGCACAGCTCCGCCAGCTCAGTGTTCCCGAGAGAATCTTCACCCTATGGATATCCTGCCTCGAGCCCACCTCGAGCCTCTGTCCTGTGCCTGACCCTGGGCTCCTTCCAGCTTCTCGATCGCTGTTCCCTCTGCTGGACACTCTTCCCTCTGCCAATGGGAGAAGTCCCATCACCCCTCATTGAGGGGCTGCACCTGCCCTCTGGGGCTTGTTTTTATATGATTTGATTAAAGGTCCATACTCATGGTATACACCATGATGTTTTAACACACACACTGCGGAGTGATTAAATCAAGCTAAATAACAGACCTGTCACTTTTTTTTTTTTTCGGTACCAGGGATCGAATTTGGGTCCTTGTGTTTGCGCGACAGGCGGTGGAACCACTGAGCTAAATCCCCGGCCCATGTTACTTATTTTCTCAATGAGAATATTTAAAACCTGCTGTTTTGGCAAGCTCATGTCTGTTTTACACACTATCATCCAGAAAAGCCACCATGCTGCTCACAGACTTCCTGACCTTACTTCCCTTGTCCAGCGGGATCTTTGTCCCTTTTGACTCCAACATTCCCAGGTACCCACCCGCCCCAGGCCCTGAGGACTGCCCCTGTCCCCTCTGCTTCCATGGACTGGCATCAGTGTGGTCAAGTGGTGCCTGTCCTGTGCCTGGGCTGGGCTTTAAGACGCTCTGTTCTGTGGGCTATTGGTGGGGGGCACCCCTGAGGCTGTAGGAGTGGATGCCCTGTGGCCCACACGAGCCCCGCCCCAAGCAGAGCACCTTCATGGCAGTAGTACATGGGAGCCCATGGGAGTGGAGGGTGAATGCCCTGGGAATGGGCTTCTGACACTGGTTCTGGTGAGGATGCAGGCTTGGGGCCTCTGTAGCTCCAGCCGTTCAGAAAGGTGGCAAAGAGCCCACTGGAAGGGACGAAGGGCTGCTCTCCTTCTGGCAGGCGGGAGTGAGGCTGTCAGTCCCCTCAGATCCCTGGACCCTGGGAGGGCTGGGGACGGACAGCTGTTGTTAACCACAAGGGACCTGCCCAGGGTGGCACAGGCTGAGTGCTATGGTTCTGCAGGCCCCATGCTCGCTGGTCCCTCTAGGGACCAGAGGGGTGCAGGGTGTAGGGCGTGGGAGGGCCCGGCCAGTGCCCTCAAACAGTGCCAGGCCAGCAGATATCTGTGCCTATGAATCAGAGCCCCAGCCTCCTTCTGCAAACAGAGAAGGTGGCTGGCACCAGACCCTGACCAATGGCATGGGCGGCCCGCCTCCCTCTGGTGCCAGGAGGTCTGATGGCCGAGGAGGCATGGGGCTTCCTGGCGTCTGCGCCCTTTGGGGAGACAGGCGTGTCCCAATCTTGGTCCATCTCACCCGGACCGCGCTGGCTCTTGTTACACAGTGCAGCTTCATCGCTGAGCAGGTCAAGCCGCAAAGTCTACCTGGCTTTGGTGAGGACGGGGCCAGCTAATTGTTCACTGTGATGCTCAGTTCCTTTGCTCTATGTGGCATGGCCAGGAAACAGCCCCACCAGCAGGGGACCAGCCACCAGTGCTGGGATTTGTGGAAATGTCACCAGGAGCCGCTTTGTTTTCTTGGTGATCTTTTTCCTCAGCCAGGTGGCAAGCGGAGTAAAGTGTCCAGCAGGGAGTCAGGGCAGGGCTTCTTCAAGCCGCCTGGGTCTCCCCTGGGGACCCTCTGGGCACTCTGTGGCCTGTCCTAGCTCCCAAGGCATTTACCAATCTGAGAAGGGCAGACAGTAAACAGCCGGTGAGATGGCCAGATAGCGCACAGGGCTCAGGAACCGGCCAGACTTGTTGGCGGGGGGCGGCTTTGAAGGAAGAACACTGGACCCAAGGGCAGATGACAAGGACCGCTGCAGAGACAGCAGGCAAGGACCTACAGGCAAAGGGCACCCGAGTGCCAGGCCTGTGAGGCGCCTGTGTGCCGGGGACTGTCGGAGCAGGGCCCCGCACAGGGTGCTGAGACCCTGTACACCTGGCACCTGCTCTGCCATCCTCTCCCGAGTCCTCATGGGACCCTTGCTGTCAAGGAATGGCAGCATTTCCCTTACCACCAGCCTCCAAAAAGAGTCACCCCAGGAGTCCCCACAGCTCCCACTTGTCCCTGTCCCAACATCGCCTCATGGAGAGGCCTCATGCCCACCTTACAGTTGTACCTTGATGCTCCCCGGCCCCAAACACTACACTATTTATCCCTACAGTTTCTGGCATTTCAGCCACACACTGCCACTGTCTCATTGTAATGCTTATCATCCATCCCTGCTACAATGAGACGTCCTTCCATACAGGGATTTCTATCTGGTCACTTGCTGCTGTCACCCAACACCTGAATAATCTGTGGCTTGCAGGTCCTCAGAGGGTACTTCCAGCTGGGACCCTGTGGGCTGCAGGTGTTTCACCCAGAGCCAGGTGTTTCAGAAGAGCCTGTGTGACAGTCTCACCAAGGGCCAACGTGGGAACCGAGAGACCCCTGCTGGGGTCAGGCCTCGTACACAGAGAAGCCCACGTCCCCGTGGCCAGAGCTCATGGCTGGGGCAGAAGAGCTAGGAGCTCACCGGGCCATGTAGCTATGTATGGGCAGTGCTAGGTGACTGAGGTGGCTGGACCCTAATCCCTGTACCTACCACAGGGGAGCTGTGTGGTCTGTGGGGTCAGAGAGGGGCTCTGTGACCAAGGGAAAGCAGGAGAATCCAGGTCCACTTGCTGTTGCGAAATGATGCTTTGTAGGAGTAAATAGGACACCTGATAAGCATGAGGGAAATGCAAAGGAAGACATGTCCTGGGAATTCAGAAATGCAGCCACGGGGTTCCACGAGAGCCCCTTCAGCTCCGGGTGCAGGGAGAGGACTGGAAGGCTGTGTCTGGCTGCTGGGCTTGGGAGTGAGTTGCCAGCTCCATTCCCTCTTCCTCCTACTTCTCTGTGACCCTACAGGTTCCTGCTGTGATCCAGTTACAGGAACCATCTCTGAAGAGGCCCCAGCAGCATGGCCCTGGTGCCTGGTCCGTTGCCTGCCTGACCCCAGGCTGGAGACGGTTGAGTCCACAGCACTCAGGGAGTAGGAGAGAGGGGGCTGAGGCAGGTGCAGCTTGGTCACCAGGGCCTGGCCAGGATCTCAGAGCCACCACTGGGCTCTCGGCATCTCTGGGCCAGTGGCCCTGCATCCACTCCCCTCTGGTCCACCTGGGAGGACGGGGCCAGGCAGAGTGCAGGGCTGCAGGGTGCCGGAGGTTCATGGCTCTGACTCTGCAGCCAAGTGTTCTGTGAGCGGTAACACGAGGCCCAGGCCTAGGAACGGCTCTCACCCTTGTTGTGTACCCACCATCAGGGATGGCTCCGAGGCCACGTGGGCCTCCAGCTTCGTTCCTGATTCCCCAGCCATGCTGCCCCCACCAAGCCTGGCCCGCAGTGCTCGCCCAGCCTTTCTGTCTGAATCCCAACTCTGGCACCTTGGAAGGTGTTGCCTTGTGGGCCCAGGCTGGGGTCCCTCTTGGGTGCCCTACTCACTGTGTGGGGATAGGGAATGCATGTGCACACTTTCCACACACACGCATGCACACACAGAGGTGCACCTGTCTGTACTCAAGTGGCCCTGGGACACCAGGTGTCCCCAGAGTGTGATCCTGCACATCCCAGGATCCCTGGAGCCCAGACCCCAGACTGGGAGGGGCAGCTGTGACCTTGGGGGCAACACTGCCGCCTAGCCTTCCCCGGGGACACTCTCCCAGGGCTGGGTGGGCCCTTTCTCAGCCCCACACAAAGGCACAATGGGCTGAAGGCGGCCTGGGTCCTGGCTCAGGCTGGGTAATCAGGGAAGAATGTGCGAGGCCAGTGCAGCACTGTGTTTCCCAAGCCCGGCAGTGGTGCTGCCCTGACACGGCCATCAAAGGCCTGCAAATTGCCTCCGGTCGCTGGTGTCCTTGCTTTCATGTTGGGGCCGGGCTGGGAGAGGGGCCTCCTCACTGGGGGTGGCTGGCACCCCCAGTGGGAACTGAACCCTGGCAGGCAGCTTGGGGTCACTGGCCCCTTGGTGGCCCCCTGGGGCTGGGGTCATTGCAGTCACTCAGCACTTCCTCTGCAGTCACAGCAGTTTGGAGGGGCTGCAGTATCAGGGCAGGAAAGAGTGGAGTGCTAGGCCGGGGTGCTTTGGGAGCCAAGCCACCTCCTGTTGCTGCCTGCTGAGAGGGCAGGCAACCGGGCCTTGAGGCGGCAGCCTGCCCCTGCCAGGTGGTTCTGGGGTATGTGGGCAGCACACGTGAGACCCTGAGTCTGGCTGACAGGCATGGTGGGCTTCGGGGGGCAAGGCTGGAAGCAGGTCTTGCTGGAAGGAGCTGGGTGACAGGCACGGGGAGGGCCAGCAAGAGCAGGACACAGGCTGGGGTGGTCCCCCTACCTTGCAGAGACTAGCTGGGATGCACCAAGGTGCAG